CGTCTTACAGTCCAGCAACATGGGCTGCCTGCCAAGCACTCAAGTGCCCTTGACCTTTGCCATCCCCTGAAATCTCCTCCCTGTGTCCAGTTCCAGACCACATCCTGCCCAGCGAGCGGAGGCCTCCCCTCTCCTGGGCTTTTGGGGGCACTTTTCACTTCTAATGTGCTCCTTTTGGCTTCGTTTTGTAATTATCTGTGTTCCGGCTTCGTGTTCCCATGTGACAATCACGCAACTGAGCCCAGTCTACGTTCCCGACCTGCAGGACCGTGAGGCAAACGAGTGGCTGTTGTTCGAAGCCGCTAAGTTTTGGAAGAGTTTGTTTCACCCCATTACCATCACAATGGATTTACAATAGATACACAATCCTACGACAGATAACTGTCGCAAGAGACCACGAATATATGTCAGGGACTGTCGGAGCCCTGGCGATACGGCAGTGGAAAAACTCAACTTGTCAGCAGGAAGCGGAAGTCCCAAAGTAGGCGAATAGATACGTGAATATATGTGATTTTATATGGTCGCCAGAGTTATGAAGCCAGGAAAGGAGGCAGGAGAGTTGGGGGAGGGGTGTTGTCTTACCTAAAGTGCTGAGGGAGAGCCCCACTGTGAGGCATCTGGCCCCCAGGTATGTCCTGAACTGCAAACAGGGACTCAAACAAATACACATGCACGCATATTCACAGTAGTACTATTCACAACTGCCAAAAGGTGGAAACAGCCCAGGTGTGAATCCGCGAAGAACAGATAATCCAAATGATGTGCTCCATCCACCCAATGGAATGTTAGCCACGGAAAGGAACAGAACTCTGACACCTGCTACAACATAGCTGGGCCTTGGAAAATTCGCGCTCAGTGAAGGAAGCCAGACACAAAAGCCCACACTGTAGGATGCCGTCGCGTGAAATACTCAGAATAGGTAAGTCTGTAAGGACGGAACGAAGATCAGTGGCTGCCAGGGGCTGGGGGAGGGGGATGGGGGGCTGCTGCTGAATGGGGTGGGGTTTCCCTTTGGGGGTGATGGGAATGTGTGGGAACCACAGAGGACGTGGTTGTACCACATTCTGAAAGCACTAAATGCCCCTGAATTGTCCACTCTAAAATGGTTAACAGCATGTTACGTGAATTTCATTTTTATTTCATTTCATATCATTTCATATTTTAGACAGAGAGAGTGTGTGAGTGAGGGAGAGAGGTAGAGGGAGAAAGAATCTTAAATGGGCTCCATGCTCAGCACGGAGACTGATGTGGCTCGATCCCATGACCCTGGTCATGACCTGTACTGAAATCAAGAGTTGGATGCTCAAGTGACTGAGCCACCCAGGCACCCTGAGAATTTCATCTTAATATATTTAAATCTGGGGCGCCTGGGTGGCTCAGTCGGTTGGGCGGCTGACTTCGGCTCAGGTCATCTCATGGTGTGTGAGTTCGAGCC